ATCCCAGACAGAAAACTGCTGCTGCGTTCTATTTATGACGTATTGGCACAAATTTCAAATGATTTTCAACGGTCGCTTAGTCGCGTCGTTGTCTTGTAGACAGACTTTAGCTGTTGCGGTGCTGCGCGACAACTGTCACGTCCTGTGTAGACACAGTGTTAATGTTGTATGATGTTTTTTTTCCCCAAAAAATAATTGAAATTTAGCTCAAAATTCAGGCTTCAGGCTCTGGGACTATTAACAGAACAGCTTTACTCAGATTGTTTGTGGGTTTCTCTTTGTCTGTGTATTTTGTGTCACCTTGCATACTACTGCTTGCATGATAGCGTCAAATCCACCCTCAGGGGCATCTCTGTTTCTGGACACTTTCTGTTTCTTCACTTCCTCTGTGAACCGCTCTACTTGCTCCGTCAGAGACAGTACGTTACGATAGCCGAATTGCGGTGGGCAGGGTTCAGGAAACCTACAGCAGTCAGAACATAGCAGGGAGACAGAAATCCCTAAACTTAGTCACTCACTCGGTTTGTCATGTGCTTTTCTAATGTGCAATGAATTATGGCTTACTTATAACAAGGATTCTGGATGACTTCTTCAGGGTAAATGTACATGTAAGGTGAGAGCGGTTTGTCTACAAAAGCTCCAAATCCCATGCGCAGATTACTGGTGACGCCCCGTAAAGCAGTGGCCAGACCATTGCCCAGTGTATAAAGCTTCTGCAGGTCGTCCGTCATGGTATTGGTCATGTCCATCAGGTAGTACAGGTCCACTGGGTAATCAGCTGCTTGCTTCACAGTGACAGTGAATTTCTTTGAATCGTCTTGAAGAGAAATGAGACAGATGAAAGGGTTAGAATTTTCTAAATTTGAAGACAAAACTCAGCTTTTTTATTTCTTTTGGCAGAAATGAACATGGATTTTTTGAGAACAAGATATGTCAGAGAGACCCCAAGACTAGCTCAAGAAACACTTAACATTTAAATTTCAGGTTTAAAACTTCATGAGTTTATAAGCAGATCTTGACATTTGAAACAAGTAATAAGCTGCAAAAAATATATATTAAAGAAAAGAAAAGAAAAGAAAAATAAATTTTTCCTAAACTGTGATGTGAGAAATATGTTATTGGATTGCACTGGTAAATATAGTTTGTGAAATCTAATCCTTTGTTTTGTTGTAATAGCATACCTGGCCTGAGGGTCAGGCGGATTTTTTGTGGTTGGATCTGAGTGATGTCCTCTGAAACCCCTGCCTTGTCACTCAGGGGTATGTCCTTTAGTATCCTCATGCTGCTAACTGGAAACTCAATAAACTTCACTCCACAACCAGACTGAATGAGACTGTCTCTGAGATCACAACGGGACAAACTCGAGCCTCCCTTTCCAAAGATCTGACAGATACACATACATACATCGATAACAATCAGAGGGAAGCATTTCAAGCAGCCATTTGTGCTTCTGTGCAGGAGTGTTTAGTCATATATGTGGATGAAATTTTGTTTTTTACCTCCTGAGAGCACCAGGCGCAGGTCGGATGTATCGACAAACATTCTTCACAGGTACTCACTCCTCTGGAAGTGCAAATGTTAGAGCCTAGAAACAAGACCATCGTTAAATTTCTATACATGCTTGAAGTGGTTTCTTTCTACTCTAGAAATTTCAGACACACCTTATATTAGGTGGCTTTAACTACTATGTACTTACATCAAAAAAAT